TCATCACCTGGCTGCAGTGATGGAGCCTGCCGGGACCCTCTGTCAGCATACAACCTCTGCTTGAGTTGTTTTAGGAATACAGATGTCTGCAGGCTTGGCCTGAGGACATTCAACGGAGTCTTGAACATTCTTCCTGTCAAGAGTTCACACGGTGGCCGACCTGACACTTCATGTGGTGTGGTCCTATAGTAAAACAGAAACATGGAGATTTGCGTTTGGAAGTTCCCAGAACCAGACTTCTTGAGTTTGTTCTTTGCAGTTTGTACAACTCATTCAGCTGCACCGTTTGAGGCAGGGTGATACGGCGGTACAAGCATGCGGCGTATTCCATTTAGAGTCAAGAACTCAAGGTACTAGGCACTGGTTAGGGCAGGACAGTTGTCGGAAACTATGACATCAGGCAGGCAATGCTGAGCGAATGCAATTCTCAATGCAGGAATGGTAGCTTCTGCAGATGTGAAAGACACAAGAAAGACTTCTATCCAGTTTGAGAATGCATTCAGAATAACCAAGAATGTGTGACCTAGGAATGGTCCCCCAAAATCAATGTGAAGCCTTGACCAGGGTCGCTGTGAAAAAGGCCACGGCGTCTGCTGAACCGGCTGTGCAGCTCGATGTTAGTCTGGCACGTAGCGCAGCTCTTCACGCTGTTGGCAGTGTCATTATCAATGCCTGGCCATCGAACATGGCTCCTGGAAATCATCTTTCTCTTCTCGATACCCGGGTTGCTGGCATGAAGAACACCAAGAACTTGGCCCTGCAATGACTTTGGGATCACTACTCTTGATCCCCAGAGTAGGCAACCCTCATGGAGACTGAGTTCTGAGCTTTTGGTATTGAAAGGGTTCCACTCTGGTCCTACTGGGAGGCTTCCTCCTTTCAGAACAGCAAGAATAACATGGCCCAGAACTGCGTCATTTCAAGTGGCTTGGGCCACAACACCTGGTGAAAGGAGTTTCGGATATGCCTCCTTTAGCAAGATTTCAGCAGGTCGTGGTAATGCAGTAGTGTCAGTTGGGAGAGGCAGTCTACTAAGAGCATCAGCGTGGCTGAGCTCTTTGCCAGGCTTGTATTGCTTTGCCAGGCTTTGCTCGTACTTGTAAGCAGAAAGTTTCAAAGCCCACCTGACCACTCGAGGCGAAGCTTGCACGGGAACCGGCTTGTTGGCACCCAGCAGTCCAAGAAGTGGCTTGTGGTCAGTGTGTGCTTCGAATGAGATGCCCCACAAGTTCTGGTGGAACCGATCCACAACAAACACTAAAGTCAGTGCCTCCTTGTCGAGTTGACTGTAGTTTTGTTCTGATTTTGACAAGCTCCTCGAGGCAAAAGCAATGGGAAGTTCTCCGCCATCAGCATCTTTGTGCGCCAGAACTGCACCTATACCATAAGGCGATGCATCGCAGCTGATGCAAAAAGGCCTCGCAGGGTTGAAATGCACAAGAACTGGAGCTGATGTCACCAAGTGCTTGCAGACTTTAAATGCATCTTGTTGTTCATGTCCACACTCCCACTTCTTCCTTTCACAAAGAAGCAAGTGCAGTGGACGAAGGAGTGATGAAATATTCGGTAAGAAGCACCTGTAGAAGTTTACAAGTCTCAAAAAACTCTGAAAATCCCTGACATCCTGAAGCACAGGAGCATGAAGAATGGCTGCTACCTTGTCAACATTCGGGGAAAGGCCTTCCTTGTTGATGATGTGCTCGAGATACTCAACTTGAGGCACGAAGAAATGGCATTTTTTAAGTTTCACCTTGAGGCCAGATTTCTGAAGCTTGCCAAGCAAGCACGAAGGTTGCGAAGGTGCTCAGCACCATTTGTGCCAGTCACAAGAATGTCGTCAAAATAGACTGCTACATGGGGAAGTCCCCTGAACAAGTTCTCCATCTCGCGCTGAAATATGGCAGGAGCATATGAGAAGCCAAAAGGCAACCGGGTGTACTAAAATAACCCCATATGCATCGAAATAGTGATGTACTTCCTAAATGCCCCATAAAGGACAACTTGCTGGTACGCATCTCGCAAATCCAATTTTGTGAATTTCTCACCTCCAGCAAGCACAGTCCACAGGTCCTCGGTCCTTGGAATGGGGTGCTACTCCACTGTCGCCACTGGGTTTATGGTGACACCAAAGTCTCCACAGATTCTGATGCGTCCATCCCTTTTGGTCACAGGAACAATAGGTGCAGCCCACTTTGCTGCTTTGACTGTAACAAGAATGGAATCTCTTCTTAGTCAATAAATTTCTTGAGTTACTCCATCTGTCAAGGCATACGGCAGTGGACTTGGCTTGAAGAACCGAGGCGGAGCATCTGAAGGAACATGTAGAGAAGCTTTACCACCCTTGAATGTACCCAGGCCTTCTTCAAAATCTTCGCCGTAGTCTTGGACCAGGTGTTTGATGTCGGAAAGTGCGTGGATCTTCACTTCAACGTCTGAGACGCCGATGCCCAGCTCACTCATCCAGTAGCGTCCAAGAAGAGTGGGCGATTTGTCTCCGGTCAGAAAATTAGGTAGGTCAGCCTCCCTGCCATGAAACTTCACAGTGACGTCAGCTTCGCCCTGAACCTTTTTTAGTTCCCCGCGATAGCTTCGCAGAAGCACTTGTGACGGCTGCATAGGAACCGAAGACAAAAGTTGAAGAAGACGCGACTTGGCCATGACAGAGAAACTTGCCCCCGTGTCCACTTCCATGCAGAGCGGCTTGCCGCAAACGTCAACAGTGACGGTGAAAGACGGAGGCGACGTGGCATAGTCGATCGGCCACATGTCAAAAACTTCGTAAGATGAAGTGGTAGCGGCATTTTGCTTGCGTACAGTATTAACACGATGACGGCTACTCGACGACGGCGAACTGCAAGCCGAAAACGAACGTGCCTTGGTAGGGCTGTTGCTTTGGGCTTGGCTGTCCCTTCGTCTTGAATTGAACACCTTCGCCAAATGACCTCGTTTGTGGCAGTAATTGCAGATTGTCTTCACATGCTTGCATTTTGATGCAAGATGTCCGTCCCCGCAGCGGTAGCAGGTTACGCCCACAGAACTTGACGAGACACAGTGAGTCGAGAAAGCGCTGCTTGTGTTCGCTTGCGCTATCCCAACTGCATCCCTTTTTGCTGCTTCCATTGCCAGGGCGGTCTCCATGGCATCGGAGAAGGGGAGTTCCGGTTTTTCCAGAAGTCTTGTCTGAACATTCACGCTGTTTATGCCACACACCTTGCGGTCGCGGAGCATGTTTTCAAGTTCAGCCCCGAAGTTGCAGTGCTCGGACAGCTTTTTAGTGCTGCGATAAAATTGCTGACGGATTCCCCTTCCGCGCGAACGCACGAGTTGAAACGAAAACGTTGCACAACGGCAGAGGGCTTCGAACAATAATGACTTCCAAGAACTTGAAGAATCTTGTCCAGCACCTTGTCACTGGGCTTGGCGGGCTTGACCGAATTGCGGAGCAAAGCATACGTTTTCTGTCCGCAGCAGCTGATGAACACGGCAGTACACTTGTCTGGGGCGGCATGATTCACCAGGAAAAGTAACAGGGCCAGTCGTTTCCTCCCTCCTCAAACGGCTCGAGGTTGCCGAAACTTGGCATGGTGAACAGAGCGGTGCGGGAACGAAGTCTTACATGAAACTTCCTTTCATCCTCGTCACCAGTTGATACATGTGTAGATTTACGAATGGCCAGGCGGTAGTGACTACCGTGAACAGTAGGCCATCAGGCCCACGAAGAACATGAGAAAATGTTGAGCCCTTTGCCCAGAACGAACTGTTGTTTATTGTTTCCAAAATGGCCACCCCCCGCTGTGCCAGGCTTGCACAGCTCAACACAACTATCAGCGCCGCGTGGGGGCGCTGTATTTGAGCCAACATTGTTACAGCAAGGAACCTACAAGAAAAATTATCACACCGGAAATGATAGTGAAATTTCACAATGTTGTGACATCGCCAAGTAACATTTTCATTCTTCCGTAAGAACACCGTATTTACACGAGTAATAGACATGCTTTATTTCTCGAAATATTAGAGCAATTTTGGGGGTGCGTTTATTAAGTGGAGTAAATTTCATGATTACATTTTCGGGAAAAGCAAAAAGTCTGGTAATGCAAAAAAGTAGGTCGCTTAGCTTTTCGCAATTGACACAGGCGTACACTGTTACGAAACATCATCTTGGTTGCACTTTAGTCATCTTCGGTGGTTGATGGTGCTATCTTCTGCAAGTTGTCCACGGGCTGCCCGCGCATGCTATAAAAATATTTCGTGGCTATCTTTTCTCGCAATCGTTTAACTGCAACAAACGGTGCCCAAAGCTTGCGCTCCCACACACTTTGCCAACTTTGCAGAAACCTTGCACGACGACTGTGACCAGGCTATTAACATTGTAGCAATCAACTAACATCCTTTCACAATAGAAACACGCATACACTTTTTGGAAACAGCTTCTTTGTTGCACTTCACTTATCCTCGGTGGTTGATGGCGCTATCATCTGCAAGCTGTCCCCGGGCCACCCACCCACGCCGTAAAACTACACGTGCCGAGACATCTGCTGCATGCAAGTGGAGGGTGAAAGAGCGTTAGCACGTGTACAGCTTCAGGCTACACAAAAAGTACGCCATGCATTTTATGAGCCAAAACAAGAACAGATTCCTTTTGTGGAGAGCAAAGTTCTTGTATAGACGCTCTGTAGTTCTGCCACTGAATTTAAGGCCAGCAGTGGTTGGACAGCGAGTTTTTTAATACCCTCGTGTGAAATTTTCACTGTTATAACTCTCTTGACAATTTTTTTCTCCTGCATAATAAACCCTTCCCTCTATTTGGCGTCAACTTTCCTGAAATAAAAGTGGGCTCATTACGCAAATAAATACAGTAGTAGAGTGCACCAGAATAATTTGCTACAACCCTATTCGTGTAACAATTATTGACATGATCAAGGCATCAACTACATGCTTTATGAGAATACACTCAATTGAGTTGTCATGGAAAATTTTTCAGAGAATAAAAAGACACATACCTGCAGCCAAGGCCCATCAGGAGATAACAGGAATTGTGCAACATTTACTGCTCCCAGCTGCATACTTATTCCAGTGCTTGCCTGCTCTGAGTGCAAGTTACACTGGGTAAGCTTAAGTGGTCCCAGCTGAAAGGCAAACCATAATGACACCATGAAGTCAAGTAGCCCACACACACCTTCTGACATCATGCCCCCCCCCCCAGAAAAGCTTAGCTCTATCAAGATTTTACCTCGGGAGCGCTTGCGAAGGGTTGAAATGGAGAGGCTTGAGTCGGTGGTAACACAGCAAAAAAATTTAATATTACACAAAATAGCAAAACATGAGCAAACCCTCAAAAATGTCGCAAACAAGAAAAAAGCACACAACTGGTTATACCAAAAAACCAGAACTAATACCTTTCCAAGTCAAGTTCGATTCTTAGGCCTAATCTGTCTCTAGCCAAGATAGCTTCTCGGTGGCTACTCACATGTGCTCCCGCATAGTAGAACATTCATACTTTTCCGATGCCACTTCTGGAACTACGACGAAGTGTTACCGTCATCGAAGTCGTCCTGAAAGACGTCGCTGAATGAGCTGCTCATCTTCATTGCCAATGTCCCGGTCTTATTCGTCATCTACGGCCTGCTTGGTCAAACCCAGCTCGTCCATGGCCTCATTGATGACGCACTCCCAAGAATGGTGTGGGCCACATTCGTTTTTGCTAAATGTGGAAGAGCTGTAGTCTACCCAGGAACTGCTGCGCAAGGTTGTGGCAAGTCTGAGCAGCCTCACTCGAGTCTTCTGAGGTAGACGGCCACTTCCCAGGCCTCTTACGCCGACATCCTTCAGAACCGGGTGGCTCTACTGCTTTCATCACAGTAGCGATGCTGACCTTCCTAACCTTCGCAGTTTGAAGCTCCACGGCGCAGGGACAGTTCATCCTCCAGGATTCCCCATCCCAGCTCTGCTCGCGTGTAATGAGCCTTCCTGTCCAATATCGTACTCGAACATGGCGTGCATGTGCACCGTCAGGGGTATCGCGCACAGGTGCCACATTCCTCAGCCCGGCACATGCCACGTGCCGTCTTACTCATGAAGGCTCCAACCCATGGGTACTGAAACTGGGTTTCACAAACTACAGCTTTGCGAGCAGTCAGAACAGAAGCGACCAATCCCATTTTACCTCCATCAGCACGCACTCCAGTCTAAGAAGTTTCCTTCAGCACTACTGGCAAAACGAGCCTCATGTTACGTCCGGCGCCTGGGCTTACAAAGACGTGGTGTTCTTTTGATCCTCGCACAAGTCTTTGAACGACTATCGGTCTATATCTGCCATGTGTTGTCCCTCCTGGCTGGAGAGTGAGGCATCATACCACCATGACAGCGTAGGCTGTTTCGCGAGAGGACGCCAAGTCTTAACGCAGTGACAACAGCTTCATTGGAAGGGACAGCAGCGGCAGCCGCAAATCGCCCCGCTAATTGAGCGAGAGGTTCGGCAGGCATTTTAGTGGCGAAGCTCCTAAAGGCGTTGGTCTGTCCATCCCTTGTGTGTGTGTGTGTGTGTGTGTGTGTGTGTGTGTGTGTGTGTGTGTGTGTGTGTGTGTGTGTGTGTGTGTCTGTGTGTGTGTGTGTGTGTGTGTGCGCGTGCGTGCGTGTGTGTGTGTGTGTGTGTGTGTGTGTGTGTGTATGCATGCATGCTTGTATGTATGTATGTATGTATGTATGTACGTACGTACGTATGCAATTGCCTACAGTTCCACCTTTGCCAACTGCTCACTACTTCGTCCTTGCAAACATCCCACTACACTCTATCACTGATCCACCACTTTACTGACCATAAAGCAAACACTCTTGAGAAGTAGCCAACATGAATGCAAGGTAGTCGTGTACTTGTATCCAGGTGCGCGTTAAAGAACCATAGATTGTTCCACTGTGCCCACCTCTTATTTGTACCCGATTGCCCATAGTTCCATCTATGCAAACTGTCCACTACTTCGTCCTTGCAAATATCCCACTACACCCCATCACCGACCATAAAGCCTGTAAGGGTGCTGACACCCCTTGTAAAGTTGTTTGCGCCGTGTGGCGCACGTGTCTCGCCCCAAGGCCGCATTTCGGGTGAGGACCGCCGGGCGATAGATGGCGTTGTGTTCGCGTTGAGTACCACTGTTGGTAGAGCGGTAGCACCTGTCGCGAACGGTTGTCTGTAGCGTGGGTCCCCGGTGCTCGGCACCGCGGGCTTCGCGCCGGGGTCCCAAATGGTGAGTGAAGCGTTGGCGACGCCGCCTTTTGTGAGCTCTTGTGTTGTGTTGTTTGAGTGTTTGGTAATTTTGTGTAATGAAGACTTAGCGTGTTAATTACAATTGATGTATCATTCAGCAGACGATATCATCGTTATAAATTAGGTAAATAAAAGTATGTAATTTGGTTTGTACTGACTGCGTCTCTGTGTTCTTTGACTCAAAGAGCGTGGCGTGGTGCGCGCTCGTCAATTGGAGACCCAACACTGGCTGCCCAACATGGAGCTCTTGGAGTATCGGACGACAGTTTTTGAGGTTCGGTACAAGCTTTTGTTTGAGCCGGGGAAGAATAGGCCTAGGGAAAACTTCTTGTTGCTAGCGTCGGTGTTGTGCTTTGTTGAGAAGCGAGGTGATTGGATTTGTGACATGTTTGAATTTGTCAGCAGGTTGAGTTTTTTTTTTTGCTCGCAAGTGTTTTTTGTTGTTGTTGATAGTTTTCAAAAACGTTGTTGCATTAGGACGAGAGCCATGCGGTCCGCATCCTGGGGTGAGCAAAACCTAGAGCACGTGGTTTGTAGGCTAGGCCCAAAACGAGTGAGTGCGGAAGCCTCGTGGGTTGTCTGATTTTCTGTAAATAGCTTCTTCTATCTCTTTGGGCTAAGGGAGCCGGGGTGTCGTTGCTGACTTGTATTGCGGCTCGAAGCCGGAGCATCGTCACACCGCCCGAGGCGGTGGACGCCGATCGCTCGGTAAGCTACTGTGTGCGGCGAGTGATAGGGCCACCTCACAGAGTGGACGTCTCCTCGCGGCTGCCTCTTCTGCACCTAGGCTGGGTGCTGGGTAGATGCCAGTTGTTGCCGAGCGACTCATTAGGCCTAAGGCTCAGCATAGCCGCCTGTCGCACGTGGCACAACTAGGTAGATCGTGGCATTGAGGTGTTGCGCTCTGCTTCCCTCACTTTTTTTTATCATGCGATGCACGAGTACGGAAAAGTGATCTTTGTTTTATTTTGATAGGCGTCTCGTCTGCCGCCGATGTATTAGCTAGCAGTACTGACCATCGTACCACGCGACTGAAAAGCCTGAAGCTCCCTTTCCTAGGCGGTTTTGGGACGTTAAACCCCACAAATCAATCAATCAATCCCTTTCCTAGGCCCTGCTCCATTGTTCTTGTCGAGTTTTTTTTTGTTGTTGTTGTTGATGTATTCAGCGGGAGAGATGTCATCCATGGCCGGATGTCTTTTGCACATCGTCAGCGTCGCTGGCCAGGAATACGGTCGTGAGGTCGGGCGATGGAGATGCCTGGGACCTGCGCAACTGCCTCCACTCCGGCGCCCTCGTGAGTGCTGGTCGCAACTGAAGACGTGTCGGCGCTAGCGACGGTCCGTCGCGCCGACGGCAACGTTGCTGTTGCGGGGCTGGTACTGAGGTGAAGTCTAGCCGGACAGTGCAGCAGTGTCGACCAGCGGCGGTGTCGTGGTGCAAGGACATTATGGACATGCGATGTCACTTATTTGGTTAAAGCTTGTGTAGCTTATCTTTTTGTTTTCCCGATATGGTTTGATTTAAGGTTTGAATAATGTGGGGGTGCTGACACCCCCTGTAAGGTTGTTTGCGCCGTGTGGAGCACGTGTGGAGCCCCAAGGCCGCATTTCGGGTGACGACCGCCAAGCGATAGATGGCGTTGTGTTCGCGTTGAGCACCACTGTTGGTAGAGTGGTAGCGCCGGCGGTGACCCCTGGCGGAAGGCAGGCCTTGGTGGCAGGTGAGCATTGAGCGAGCCTCTTCAGCGCGTGGCCGCTGTCGCGAACGGTTGTCTTTAGCATGAGTCCTCGGCGCGGGGCACCGCGGGCCAGCGCCGGGAGGCCCACGTGGTAATTCAAGCGTTGGCGACGCCGCCTTGGGTGTGTTATAGTGTGTTTGTCGTGTTGCGTGTTTGTCGTGTTATTGTGTAACGGTGTCCTAGAGTATTACATAACAAGTTATGTATCGATTCGGCGGACGATATCGTATTTGTAAATTAAATAAATAAATGTATGCATGTTTTGTTTGTACCGACCGTGTCAGCTGTGGCCGTTCATTCCAAGAACGTGGCGTGGCGCTCACTCGCCAATTCGAGACCCCAACAAGCCATTATAAAGAAGGGGTAATGGAAGCGACGTATAGCTACACTTAAGAATAAGAAAATTTCTTGTATAAATATATACAGTGTTTGTCATGTATTTGATGATGTAGTGGGTGATATTCCCGGATAGTTTAACATTTTAGCAATGAAACCCTGTAACGCTTCGCCCCACTCATCATCATTCACTCCCAGGATATGCTGTGATTTTTTTTTCTTTGCTACGGTGGCCCTTTTGGTGTATGTTGTTGTGAGCTCGGGACCCCTCGCCCAGCAAACGCACACGAAAAGGAAGAGCCACGTTGGTGGTACAGTGCAGTGCAGCAACCAAGCCTGAATATTTGATGTCTATTCTGCCATGTGTGCACATCACCTTCGCAATTTGTGTGTGACAGGTGATTCAACAGTGTAATTTGATGCCTTTTACCCCATCCAAAGATCTTGGGAAAAGGGACTGTTTATAATAAGCCTTCCCGGGCTGCTTTGTGTGTTTTTTCGATACAGTGCTTTTGATGTTAATGCCTTTTTGATTCAGAGCCTTTGACGAGATCGTCACAATGTAAAACGAAATCTTCATCTAGATGTTTCTCATGCGGCGAGAAACGCTCGCTTATAAATAATGTAAAAATATCACAGCATATCCACGGAGTGAATGATGATGAGTGGGGCAAAGTGTACGTCAGCCCGCCCGTGCGTCCGACCGTCCGTTCGTTCTTGCTTCTGCGTCTATGTGGGCATCCGTACGCATATTTATGCGTACGCGCATCCATGGATCTGTTTGTATG